ACCCCAGAAATTCAACACAAGAACAGAATATTAAAAGCTGTCGGAGAAAAGAAACAGATTAACTATAAAGGAAAACCTATCAGAATCACAACATACTTCTCAACACAAACCATCAAATCAAGAAGAGCTTGGAGGGAAATAATCCAAGCCCTGAAAGAAAATAACCTCCAACTCAGATTTATGTACCCTGAAAAACTGTCTCTCAAAATTAATGGAGAAACAAGAAGCTTCCATGACAGAGAGGAACTGGGGGAGTTTGTAACCACCAATCCAACCCTCCAAAAATACTGAAGGACATTCTAGAGAGAGAGAAAAAAAAGACCATGGTTTCAAGAACAGTGACAAAGAAGACTCACTGAATGGAGCAGACAGTAGAATGAAGGGGAAAAGTATATGACCAACTGCAGAAAAATAGCATAGCAGAGATGAGGCAGAGAACACTGGCCCACAATCGCTAACATGGATAGCTTCAATACACTAATAAAAAGAAACACAGACAGAGTGGATCAGGAGATATGGTCCATCAAGATGCTCTACATAAGAAATATGTTTAACCTGAAAGAGGGTTAATGAACCAAAAGTCACAGATGAGAAAACAATGCTCTATGTGACAGGGAACCAGAAAGAAACAGGGCTAGCTCATCCAGCGACTGCAGATAGTTTGGAAAGTCATGACACTTGTGCAGTGGAAAACTATTCATCTATAAGGAAGGAAAACCTTGAGGCTTTAGTAGGTAAAGGAATACAGCTCATGATCAAGCTCGAGGGTAAAAAGGTTCAGAATCACTTAGGTAGATGGCAGATTGCCCCCTTCCTAATCTAAAAACTAAAGGAGTTAGTGGGACCCAAAATGTACAAAGCACCCTGAAAAAGGGAAAGGGGAGGAATTGCCTAAAAAAGGAAGGCAGAGGACATTGTAATCTTGTATCATGATTTGAAACCAATATTGCATTCAACTCTCTTTTCATTTGGCTATGTTCTGTTCCAGTTTATCTTCTTGTACTAGATTTGAGGGCATAGACAGCTATTCCAAAGATAGCAGGGTATACTATGACAACCATTTTTAATTTCCTATTAACTTAATCTGAAACCTAGTATTGCTTTCACTGTCTTGTTTTGACTGATTTTATTTGAATCGGTCTTATTCAATTGCCATCATGTCTTGAATGATTTTCTTCAAATCTGTTATATTTTATAGTATCAAATCTGAAAGTATAGGCAACTACTCTAAAGACAATAAGATTCACTATTATACCCATTCTGGCTTGGCTATTACCCTCTTTTGAAGTCCTATAATGTCTCCAATGTTTTGTTTTTATTGATTTTGTTCTGTACTGCTATGTTGAATTTTACTAGACCTTATGACATTTTATTATACGTTATTGAAGATAACAAGAGACATCACGGTAACCATCGTAGATCAGTTTGTATTGTGGTTTTAAATTATTTACTAGGTCCATCCTTTTGTTTTGAATGACCCTATTTTGTTTTGTTTTGTTTTTTCTCATTTGGTTTTACTCTTTTCAAAATAGAAATAAAAGAGATTTTAAAAATCAAAGGATGAAAAACAATATATGTACCCAAACGCAGGCAGAAGAATCTATCCTATTTTCAGACAAAATGGAATTAAAATCAAAACTGATCAGAAGAGGCAAAGAATGTCTCTACATACTGACTAAAGATCACTATGTTGTCTTCTTTTTAAACTCCTTGCCTCTATTTTATAGTGGTGCAGAGTTTACAATCCTGGTTGACTGCTCATTGTAGCAGAGTGGCCAGCAGGGCTCACCTTGGATGTGATCATATGGAATTAGAAAGGACCAGCAAAAAGCAGTCCTACATAGGACCAAAGTATGAGGCATTACCAATCAAGATTTCAAGTTATACTACAAAGATACAATCATAAAAGCAGCATGATACTAGCAGAAAAATAGATTTGTGGATCAACTAAACAGAACAAAGGATGGAAAAACAAACACTATTCAGTCACCTGAATAGTGTATATTCAGTATATTCAGTCACCTGACATTTTACAGGGGGCCAAAACCATATACTGGAAGATAGCTTCTTTAGCGAATGGTACTGGGAAAACTAGTTTTACACATTCAAAAGATCATGTAATAAACTAAAATAAGGATGAGGGTGTTGCTCTGGTGAACTGGCTCCTGTCTGGGGACCACCAGGAGATGGGCTTTGTGGGGCCGCAGGCTATTGGTCTGTCCCTTTCCAGCTCTGCTTGTCTAGAGAGGTACTGCATTTGTGAGGGACAAGGCTCCACTCAGCCACAAGAGAACTGGTTACCCACAGTAAGCGGGAAGATCCACTGGGACCATCTGCACCTCAGGGAGCTGGGTGATATGTAGGTTTGCGCTGTTCCCTGTCACCAAGCAGGCCAAGTCCAGGAAGCCATTTTCCTCTGGGATGTTGCACCCAAGGTGATGAAAATGTACAGATCCTGTTAGGTGCCTGCAAGACAAGCAGTGAGTGCCAAGGATGCCAGGAAAGGAGTAGGGACAGGGCATGGGAGGAGGGACCTGGAATGGGGATTGTATGGGGACCTTTCCAGGCCCAGGATACAGTGACACAGTCCAGGCAGGCCCTGGCTCTGTGGGTGCTGGGGGAGAAGACTTCCTCCCAGAGGTTGTAACACCCTTGGTGTCCCCGAGCTTCCTGTCTCTTAAACCCCTCTCCTCTCTGTTCCACTGCCTGGCATCACTGCAGGCCTGGTCTCAGTTCTGCCTCCAGAAGCTGCTTGTACTGCCCTTGGGGCACAGAGCTTTATGTGTACAGTGACTGAAAAGCTGTCCTGGATGTGGTCCCCAGTACTGGTGCAATTCCACCCTCTCCTCTGGCCTGCACAGAGGCACTGCTGCCCCTGAGCTGTCCCTCCTGGACACAGTGCTGATACCCTGGGATCCAGAGGAGACTGCAGGTCCCTGCCTGGTCCCTAATGGCTTTGCTTTACTCACCTCTTCCCTGCCTCCACCTGTGTCACACTCAAGGATATCACTGCTCCCTGAGAACAGACTGTTGCATCCAGCCTGGCCCAGACAGCAACTGTGCTATGACCTTCATGGCAGAAACTGCCTCTTTCTTTTCCTTGCTCACAGGGATGCCATCCTCCTGAGTACCTTTTGTCTGGGTTCTGCAGCAGAGCCCCCACATTCCCATCTTCCCCTAGCCTAGAGAGGCCCTGATGCCCTCCCAAGACACCTCTGGACCTCACTGGGCCATTTTTGCTGCCCAGGGTTCTGGGTTGTAAGATTCCCCAATCTCACTTGCAGGTGCTGTTGGAAGATGTGGCAGGCTGCTGCTGTGGGGATCACAGTTCCCAGGATTCAGGGGTACAATCAAATTCTCAGACCTCAAAGTGCAGCTGTGTTGGGCAGTGTCCAACATAAATCAGAGGGATGAGGTCACACTGGACTGAGGTAGGCACCTCACCCTATAGTGCTGGGTTTCCTTGTGGGAGGGTGATGGGGACAGGGACTTGGATATAGGGACAAAGCAAGGGCAGCAAATCAGGCTAGCAGAGTGAGGCCCCTGAGAGGAATAGGGGATCTTGGAGTAGGCTGTCCTGAGGCAGGGGAGACCCAGCCCAGAGGCCCTTCCTGGGATCCCTGGCCTTCAGGCAGCACAGGTCTCTGTCCAGTCCTTGCACCCATAGAAAACTGGAGAATACTTTGTTATCACAAGTAGGGTATTGGTGTAAAAAGAACCTATAAGCATGGAAGATACTGAAATTGGGTGATGGCCTTAAATGACCTCACAACAGTGCCCATGGTGGTATGGCTCAGGCTGACCTGGCTTACAGAACTGGTCCTCCCATGGTACTACCTTGATGCTTCTTGCATGACCTCATTAGGGGCCTAAGTGTCTCTGAGTCCCTCTCTGCCTCCTCCTCTTTTCTCCCACTGCTTCTTCCACTCAGTCATCAACCCACACCAGCCAGGACCCACAGCCTCTGGGCTGCCTCCAGCCATGCACTCTTAGTCAGGAACCCGCCGTGGCTGCTGCTTCATCTCTGCAGGGCTCCCATCTGAGTAAAACTAGCCTTAAGACAGCGCCTCCAACTTAGAGCCTGAGTTTCCACACTTGATCTAGGCCCAACAGGCACAGTCATTGTCCTGTCCTGTGCCATCCCCACCATGTGTTCTCCCTACAGGTGCCGTGGACTCGGGTGTAGCCCCAACCCATCTATGTGCTGCACCTTCACCCCAGGTAACAGTGAGAGGAGGGAGGCTCTGTGAGAGGACTAGACAGAGTGGCATTGTGCTTTAGCACAGCAGTCCAGAGCTCCAGCCCCTTCCTCCCACAAGAGCAGGCCAGAAGTTGCTGATTAGGAGCTGGGATACTTCTCCTAGCAGGGCTCTGCCAAGTTTCCTGGAACTCAGGCAGGACCTACAAGCCAGGAGAGGTACCCATCTCATGTGAGACCACCTGGCTTGATATGTTTCTATAGCCACTCATGCACACCAAGACCCTGGCCCTCCGGAATGTTGGCTTCAACATCCACACTCCTGTCTTGTCCATGCTGCAGGCCACCAGCCGCTGTGTCCACACAGTGAGATGCCTAGCTCATTGCCAGAGGTGTGCATGGCCAGAGGGTTGACCTGCCCCACCCTGCATCCTTGAGAAACAAAGGTTTGGGGGTGAGGTACTAAGTGTCCTATTCCCAGGCTGCCTGAAGCAGTACCAGCAGGAGCAAGTGGTGGAGGGCAGAGGCCCTTCTGGGAACATGCAACAGCTGAGCCTGTGCCTGGTCTCCAATGATGAACATGTGTAGAGACCTGGCCTGTGAATATGTCTGATTTTGCTTGGCTTTCTCCTTGATCCCTTTGCTGCCCCTCTGTGTCCTTCCATAGCCCTCAGAGTCACAAGAGAGGCTTCAATTTGGGTCTCCCTGGAATATCACACAGCACACAGGTGTAAAAAAGGAAGACAATCCTTCAGAAAAAGGTGGTTTCATAGTGAGACCCTGTCTCAAAAAACAAAACAAGAAGAGCACATCTGTGTTTATTTCAGGACAACATGCACACAAACAGCAAAGCCGAGCTTGGGGACCCAAGTGCTGTGAACATGGTGGCGACATTGGCTGGCATGGAGAGATGCCTGTGTCCTAGAGCGCAGAGCTGGAGGGATGTGCGAAGAGGTTCAAGTTGAGGGCCATGCAGCACAGCCCACCCCAGGCCAGGCACTGTGGTTGAGTTCTTGGTCTTCAGTGTCCTCCCACAGCTGGGTCACTTTACCTGCAGGCAACAGAGGCAGCATCAATGATCATCCCAGTAGGAGAAAGATAGGGGCAGGAGCACCCAAGTGGCTAATGCAGGCTCCTCCCTATTCCTAGCCCCAGCCTCCACCTGAGCCATCTACCTTGAATAAAGTGACAGTGGTGCTGTAGAAGAGGCTGAGAAGGAAGAGCACGATGAAGGTGGAGGCGGTGGTCCAAAGGTTCTCGAAGCCCTCTTCCTCAGCATTCACCTCCCCCTCTGCAGTGGACACAGGGGGTAGGGGTCAGGGGCATCTGTAACCCATCTGCATTGCAGACCACAAGGTACACAGGATGGTGAATGTCAAGAGCCAGACAGGTGGACAGAGACAGAGTCAGGCCAAGCAGGAGCAGACAGGGATGCAAAACCTTGCCCAGTGGCCTTAGGTGACAAAGGCAGCACCACAGATGTAGGACATGGACAGAGAGGAGGGCAGAGAAAGGGCTTCAATGAGCCCTAGACCCTCCTTAAGCAGGGGACACAGCAAGAGCCACTTGGCTAAAAAATGGGTGTTGTGGAGTGCACAGGGCAGAGTGAGGGCCAGGCTACCCTTGGTTACCTCCCCGAGGACTCTGATAACAGGAGCAGAGCCCAGAGTATGTTGGGCTGGGTGGTGCTTCCTGACCAAAGTGACAGAAGCCTGCAGACATTCTGCCCTACCCGAGTGACAGACGCCTAGGGACATATTGACTAGCAGCTCCTCCTATCTTATAGAGTGATAGAGGTCTGGGACATCCTGGCTGATCCTATTCTATCGGAGTGACAGAGACCCTAGGATGTCGTGCCTCGAAGTTCCTCTCCTACCAGAGTGACAGAGACCTGGGACACCTAGTTGGTCCTATCTTGCCTGAATGACAGAGACATGAGGATCTCAATATTGAGACAGGGCAGAGTGAGCCCCAGGGGACACAGTGCACTCAGCAATCAGGGGACAGCTATAGCTCAGTGAAGAGGGTAGGAGCAGCCCTAGGCCAGCTTTATCCCTTGGGTGTGGGGACCTAGCTCAGCCCTGTCCTCCCTGTGTGGGTCTGGCTCCCCTGCAGAGCTTCCCCCTGTTCTCTGTGCCTCAAATGAGGGGATCAAGTGTCTACAAGGCCATCACGCTAATGCTGACCCTAGTGACCTCTCACAGAAGGGCAGCCCCTGAATGCAGACTGGATCTGGACACCACCTGCTCTATCACTCACACTGAACCCTATGCCTTGGGAACCCATTCCTCCCCAGAGTCAGCCTGGATGGCACCTCCCTGGGAACCCCCAGGATTAGGCTAAGCTCCCTAAGAAGCTGCCATGGCCCTGCGCTGTGGGGTACTCTGAGTTCTGGCTCTGGGACCAGGGATGGCACCCCACTCAAAGTGCAGGCTACACTGGGCACTGAAGCAACTCCATGCCAAGAAAGAGGGACAAGCAGACTGCGGGACAAGCCCTGAAAGATCATAGTGTGACGAGCCACAGCTGGGGAGGCTAGAGACTCTGTGTGTGTATGTGTGTGTGTGTGTGTATGTGTGTGTGTGTGTGTGTGTGCGCGCATGCGCGCGCGTGTGTGTATCTGTGTACATGGCTCTGTGCTGAGTCTGTGCCATGTGTCTACCTGCTCCTGTGCACATGACTGTTCCTGTCCACATGTCTTTGTGCCCAGTGCATGTGCACACTCATGTCTCTGTGCATATCTATGCACTTGGGTGTAGGTGGACATGTGGCCAAGCATGTCCATCTGTGTGTGAGACTGTGTGCATATATACCTGCTTGTGTGTCACTGCTGGGTGTGTGTGTATGCAACCATGTGCATCTGTGTGCCTCTGTGCTGGTGTGTGCATCAAGTGCACATGTGTGCACATGTGTCTGTCAGTTTCTGCCTGTACCAGCGTGGCCAAGTGCTCAGATGTGTCAGAAGCAGCTACAGGATCTGCAAGCTCACACACTGCCTGAGGAAGCGGCTGCAGGGAACCAGGGCCTCCCCAGGCACTGGAAGGCCAAGTGCCAGGGGAGGGGTGGGCAAGGTGGAGGGACTGCAGGCATTGGCCAGGGAGGGCACAGCACAGCCATGGCCAACAGGCCAGCATAGTGTACACTCAAAACCAGCATCTTTTGAAGGGATCTTTTTATTTCTAATTTTAGGGAACGCAACACCGCACCCCCAACATGGTTAGTTTGCATGCACATGGGAAGAGCAACTGGACCGAGGCTGCCCCCCTGCAGGGGCAGCGTGGTCAGTAGCAGGTGTGGGCTGTGTCAGACATGACCAGGGACACGTTGTACAGGGTGGGTTTACCAGTGGATTTGTCCACGGTTCTCTCAGTCACCATGTGCGGCAGGCCCTCATGGCCCACGACACAGGTGAAGGTCTCCCCCGAGATCCAGTCCTCTGCAGGCACGGTCAACAGGCTGTGGGCATAGTAGTAGCCTGGAGTGTGGGGCTCTGGCATCGGAGCACTGGTCACATACTTGTCTGATGACAAGGGCTGTCCACCCTTCAGCCACTGCACAAAAATGTCCGCAGGGGCAAAACCCTTTACCAGGCAGATGATGGTGGCCTGCTCATGCAGGACCAGCTGCTCCCGGGCTGGTGGCAGTACATACACAGCGGGAGGCTTCTTATTCCCAGCTGTGGACAGAGAGGACTTGGTGAGCACAGGGCAGGAGGGGGAGAGGGGGGTTCCTGGGAGTGGGTTGGTGGATGAGCCTACCTTTGGGCTTAGAAATGGTCTTCTTCAATGGGAAGGGCAGATCATGATGGACCACGGTGCACGTGAACTCATTCCCAGAATCCCATTCATCCTCACAGATGCTGGCCTCACCCGTGACACTGAGAGTGCTGTTGGCTTGGCTCTCAGCATCTCTGATTTTGGTGGGCAGTTCCCTGCCATCCTGGTTGGACCAGGAGATGTTCAGTCCTCCTTGGTGGATCAGGTCATTGACCAGGCAGGTCAGCTTGACTGACTTGGTGTGGAAGATGTCATTGAAAGAGGGAGGAATGAGGAAGACTTTGATGTCTGTGGATGGAGTTGCTGTGGAGAGAATACTGCTGTGAGTGGTGGTTGGATGTGAATTTAGAGAAAGGTGTAATACCCCAGGACCAGCCCTGCCCCTGGATGCTGCTTGGTGTCACCTGACCTGTGTCCCCACTGCTCCCTACCCGGCCTTTGGCAACTTCAATAATCCAAAGTTCAGGAGTAAGTATCTGGGTCTGGATGGCCTCTGCCACACTTGAGTGGACAGCTCAAGGGGTATGCTGCATCAAAGGGATCTTGGCAAGGGACAGATACTCACAAGGGATACACAGAGAGGAGGATACATTCTTGTCAAAGGTGCCTGTCTTGTGAGTCACACGGCAGGTGAACACCTTCTGGCCCAGCCAGTCATCCTCAGTGATGGTCAGTGTGCTGGTAACCTTGAAAGTCACGGGCTGGGAGTCTTTTTTGTCAGCCACTACCTCATCTGTGATGATGCCACGCTCTATAATCTTTCCTTCCCGCAGCCAGGACACTGTGACCTGCTTGGGACTGAAGTCTGTGGCCTGGCAGATGAGTTTGGACTTTCGAGAGTCGAGGAAGGTGTCTCGGGGTGGGACAAATACAGTCACATTAGGGGCCAGCTCCACGATCCCTAATGTAAGGAAACAAGATGTGAGCTTGACCCAGCTCAAGTCTCTGTGCTTTCCCTCTTGGCCACACCAGGGTCTGTGTTCCCAGAGAGGACTGGATCTTACCTTTAGTGATCACCTCTGTCTGCACAGTGCCTGTCATATGTTGAGCCTTGCACATCAGCTGGATGTCAGTGCTCTGGGCGATGTCTTTGGAGCCCAGGAGCAGCTGGGAGGTGGCTGCATACTTGCCCCCTATGAGTACATCTGGGAAGGTTCTGATGACCTGGTTCACGGCAGAGTTGTTCTTATAGGTCCAGGAGAAGGATATTTTGCTGGGCAGGAAGTCCCGTGCCAAGCAGCCCACAGACACCTGGTTGCCATCGGACAGAGGTCTCTCACAGGAGATGAGGGGAAAGAGAGTTGGGCCAGATTGCTTTGCTGGGGATCCAAGAGCAGAGAAGAAAGGAAGAGTGTGAGATGTTATCTCTTATACCCTGTGCACCAGGGATATGTTGGTATCTTCCTTCTACACTGGCTACCCTCTGAAGAGCTGGGCCTGTAGGTCCTCTGAGGCTCAGGAGGATAGGGCCAGCTGTGGTTGGAGGCCTTAGGGTGCTGGGAAGCCTTGTTGGCCTCCTGCTGTAGGAACCAAGGATGAGGATACTTTAGGAGCAGGAGGCTCCATTCAGGGCAGGCAGGCCTGTATGCTGCTGGGTTGTATCCCTGTGCTGGTTTGATTAGTGGAGAGCAAAGGAGCAAATGGGGCCAGACCTCAGTGCCAAAAGGGAAGCCAAGGGGACACTGAGGGCAGCTGTAGCTCTGCATGGGCATATGGAGTTAGCAGCACTACAGCCTGCCCCTGGGGTCTTCCAGACCAGCAGTGGGGCTATGAGGGGTAGGTGCAAGGCCAGTCCAGCCCAGCTCAACCAGCTCCAGCCCAGCACAGCCCAGCTCAACCAGCTCCAAGCCAGTTCTCAATGGATAGGACACCAGTGTGACTCCACCTCAGGACAGCCTGATTGGGAACACTAGCCCAACAGAGTCCCCAGGGTCGAGTTCCCTAGCTGGTCAGCCCAGTTAGAACCATGTGGCCTTGCAGAGCCTGACTCGACAGGCCAGAAAGAGCCCCAAGGAGTTGGCCTGGGTCACCCAGCTCAGCCAGCTCAGCTAGCTCAGCAGAACCTACTGCATCCCTGCTCAGTCAGCAGCACCACAGGCACTGAGCTCAGCCCAGTCCAGCCCAGTGCAGCCTGGCCCAGTGCAGTTCAGTTCATCCCAGATCAACCCAGCTCATTTTAGTCTAGCTCTGCTCACCAATCTCACCCAGCACAGCTGACCCAGCCCAGCTCACTCAGCTCTGCTGGCTCAGCTGAGCTCATTCAGCACTGCTCAGCCCTCTTCAGCCCAGCATTGCTTAGCCCAATCGGCTCAGTCACCTCAGTCATCAGTTCAGCCCGGCCCAGCCCTGCTGTGTTTCACAACTCTGCTAGCTCAGCTCAGCCCAACCCAAACCAGCCTAGCTCTACTAGTTCAGCCCTCATCAGCTCAGTTCAGCTCAGCACAGCTCAGCATAGCCTAGCTCAGCTCATTTTATCCCAGCTCAGTTTATCCCAGCTTAACCATCTCTAAACCAATTCAAACCATCTGAGCTCCGCTAGCTTAGCTCAGCCCAAACCAGGCTAGCAGGCTCTGCTAGGTCAACCCAAATCAGCTCAGCTCAGCCCAGCCAGCTCAGCTCAGCCCAGCTAAGCCCAGCTCAGGCCAGTCTAGTCCAGTTCAGTCCAGTTCAGTCCAGTTCAGCTCAGCTCAGCCCAGCTCAACCCAACTCACCCCAGCTCAGCCCAGCCTGGTCCAGTTCAGTCCAGCTCAGCTCTGCTAGCTCAGCTCAGCTCAATTCAGCACAGCCCAGCCCAGCCTGGTCCAATTTAGCCTAGCTCTGCTAACTCAGCTCAGCCCTTCCCAGGCCAGCCTAGCCCAGCTCAGCCCAGCCTGGTCCATTTTAATCCAGCCCAGCTCTGCAAGCTCAGCTCAGCTCAGCCAGCTCAACCCAACTCACCCCAACCCAACCCAGCCTGGTCCAATTTAGTCTAATTTAACTCTGCTAGTTCAGCTCAGCTCCAGCCCAGTTCAGCCGAGCCCGGCTCAGCCCAGCCTGGTCTAGTTTAATCCAGTCCAGCTCTGCTAGCTCAGCTGAGCTCAGCTCAGCCCAGCTCAGCCCAGCTCAGTCCAGCCCAGGCCAGCCTAGTCCAGTTTAGTCCAGCTCAGCTCTGCTAGCTCAGCTCAGCTCAGCTCAGCCCAGCCCAGCCCAGCCCAGCCCAGCCCAGCCCAGCCTGGTCCAGTTCAATCTAGCCCAGCTCTGCTAGTTTAGCTTAGCCCAGCCCAGCCCAGCCAGCCCAGCTCAGCCTGGCTCAGCCCAGCCTGGTCCGGTTTAATCCAGTCCAGCTCTGCTAGTTCAGCTCAGCTCAGCTCAGCCCAGCTCAACCCAGCCCAGCTTAGTTCAACCCATCTCAGCTCTGCTTAGTGCAGATAGTTTAGTCCAGCTCAGCCCAGCCTTGCTCAGCCCAGCTCTGCTAGCTCAGTTCAACCCAACTCAACCCAACCCATCCCAGCCTGGTCCAGTTCAGTCCAGCTTAGCTCTGCTAGCTCAACTCAGCTCAGCTTAGCCTAGTTCAGCCCAATTCACCCCAGCCCAGCCCAGCCTGGTCCAGTTTAATCCAGTCCAGCTTTGCAAGTTCAGCTCAGCCCAACCCAGGCCAGCCTAGCACTGCTCAGCCCGGCTCAGCCCAGCCTGGTCCAGTTCAATCCAGTCCAGCTCTGCTAGCTCAGCTCAGTCCAGCCCAGGCAGCCCATCCCAAACCAACCCAGCCCAGCCCAGCTCAGCTATGCTTAGTCCAGATAGCTTAGTCCAGCTTAGCCAGCCCTAGTTCAGCCCAGCTCTGCTAGCTCAGCTCAGCCCAGGCCATGCCAGCCCAGCCCCTGCCAGCCCAGTCCTAGCTAGCTCAGCCCAGCTCTTCTAGTTCAGCTCATCCCAGCCCAGGCAGCCCATCCCAAACCAGCTCAGCTATGCTTAGTCCAGAAAGCTTAGTCCAGCTCAGCCAGGCCTAGCTCAGCCCAGCTCTGCTAGCTCAGCTCAGCCCAGGTCATGCCAGCCCAGCCTATGCCAGCCCAGCCCTAGCCAGCTCAACCCAGCTCTGCTAGCTCAGCTCACCCCAGCTCTGCTAGCTCAGCTCACCCCAGCCCAGGCTGGCCTAGCCCGGCTTAGCTCAGCCCAGCCCATTCCAGCCCGGTCCAGTTCATTCCAGCCCATCTCTGCTAGCTTGGCTCAGCCCAGCCTAGGCAAGCCGAGCCCAGCTCAACCCAGCTCAGCCCAGCTCAGCCCAGCCCAGCCCAGCTCAGCTCTGCTAGCTCAGCTCAGCTCAGCTCAGCCTAACCCAGCCCAGCTCAGCCCAATTCAGTCTAGCTCAGCTTGGCCTAGTTCAGCCCAGCCCATCTCAGCTAGCCCACCTCAGCTAACCAGGCTCAGTTTAGCCAAGTCCAGCCCAGGCCAGCCCAGCTCAACCCAGCAGAGCTCAGCTAAATCACTCCACAACTGGATCCTGCACAGCTCAGTTGGCCTATTACCCTCAGTGTCTCCTCTTTTATGAATGTAATAGTCTCCCACCTCACTCGGCAAGACTTTAGTCTGCAGAGCCACCCAGTCAGCCACTACCACCACTTAACAAACAGAAAAATTTATCCTTGAAACTTTGAATTCACTGAAATATTCAGAGATTAGATCAAGAAAATAAGGTCATTTCTGCACAAGGAAAACTTTTTCCTCCTGAACCTGAAGCTTTGTCTGTGCTGGTAGGAAGCACTGGAAGAACCTCCCTCAGAGACTGAGCTCCTGGAAGACCTGCTTAGCCTGATCTTTACCCTCTGAGTCTTAAATTAGCTTGACTTTCATTTCCATCGAGATCTAAACCATCATCAACAACTACCATGAAAAGCAGTTTATCTACATTTGTCACTTAAAATTCTTGTTTGCCATGAAACTCTTTAGAAAGTACAATAATAGTCTAAAATCAAATCTGTTCTGATAACTTAAATGGAGGCAACACCAGTAACATTTTCAAGCACTGTGAAAAGAATGGCCAATAGTTAATAGACCTTAGAGCCACTGGTGCCCATTTCTCCTAGACAGGGACTTCACGGAATGTTGGGAATGAGCAACCCAGACAACAATTACTCCAAGGATTCACAAATACATTTCCTTGTCTTCCTTTAACACAAAAACTGACTTACTTTCCAACAGAAACAAGCATCAAATTCAAACTTATAAGAGACGCAGACGTGGCAGTGGTAGCTGCCTCTCGCTTACCACATTGGATGCCTGGTTGCTAGGAGGTCCCGAGTGTCTCTGGCATGGAATATTTCTTCCAAGTCCATTAAAACTGGCTGAGTCACGAAGAGCCAGCTGGCCTGATGGCAGAAGCCACTGCCACACATTCCCAAGTCTGGGTGGTCCTGGGAGCCCCCCAAGCTGAAACCAGTTCCAGCAGCACACACACTCAGACCCTAGCCAGCAGCCTGTCTGCAGGAAGCTGGGCAGAGGAGAAGCATTCTGTGCTGCCAGAGGCCTAAAGGCCTTTCCTTCACTTTATCAGGCGGGCTTTCTCCTAATCCATCAAATAACTTGTTGGAATGAAAAAATCCAAGGTGATTCTATACATCGCACTTCAAATTCCTCCTAAAGCAAGTACTCAATGAGTGGTCTTAAAAAATACTTAGGAAGGCATCTTCATCAGAATAGCAAAGTGTTTTTTTCTTAATCATAAAAAAACTAGCTTACATGTGGGGAACCCACACATTGTAAAAATAATGTTTTAGTTTTTGGACAAAGCATTAATATTAGTTATCACATTTTTTAAAAACCAAAGCAATTTAAAAACTTTCTTAAATACCCCAATAAACTGTCCCTAAGACTGTTCAGTTTCATGTAGATTGTACTTTGAAAATAAATTTAGAAGTTGATAAGCTCAGTTGGAGAAAGCCGAAAGTTGATAAGCTAAGACTCAAAAGTTAAATTCACATAGTTAAAAGGGGACTTTCCAGTTCCTGCCAGCATCTGAAGCTTATTTTAGAAATGCAAATGACCCAGGTGTTGTTTTGCTCAGTAGGAACTTTCAGATCTGTAGGGCTGGGCAAAACATTTCAAAACCATCTCCTCATAACCACAGCTATAAATTTACCTATTCTGTTTTTCTGTTTCCCCAAATAGATTCCCCATGTGACCAACTTCCTGCCACCTGCTGCAGGTGTCCTGGCCCCAGGCCATCTTGACTTTAACTCTTAACCCATCATGGCTTCATTGACTTAAAAAACAAACTTGATTTATTATCAAAACTTGGCTCAATTCCTGGCAATAGTACTGAATTTCTATTCTTTGGCTGAACTTGCAGCAGTATCAGTTCCAGACAGACACAACTCATGATTGCTACCTGAGTACTAAGAAATTTAAAACTTTAAATACCTAGACATTTAAAGCTGGAATATGCTTGAAAACCTCATACGTCTTAAGTCACAATTTCCTTAGCCATTCTTCTCTGGAGCCCCTTCAGAGACATCTTGCCATTCAAACAACTTGATTCTCAGCATTTTGTCCTCCATGCATCCACACACATGGAGACCCCGGTCCCTCTCCTCAAGAAGGAAAACAGGTACCCAGCACACATTTTCTCTAAGGCCATGGCTACATATCTTCCTCAATTCACTCCCTCAGACCATTCTCTTTCCAACAAATAAAGAATTTTAAATACTATCTAGCACAAAGCATACCTCACCATTCTAAAGAAAATACTCCACACTCTGTGTGATGATCTAGTCACTCTGCCAAAAGGGTCACTGAGGCATTCTCCTCGCCCAGCAATGAGTCCTGAATCTGGGTGTTTCCAGCCCAGCCAGAGATGTCTCCCGCTACAGGGTCCTGGCCTTTTCTGCCTATCTGAAGGTGACCCTCAAACCTGGATGCTGTCTGGGGGGACTAAGGTACTGCAATGATATGCTTGTCCTTATTATAATTTTCCAAAGACATTGGAACATCCACTGGAACATGCCAGTCCCAGCCCCCCTAGCCAGCCACCCAGATCCCCAGTGAGATGAGCCTGCAGTTCTCAGAATATCCCACAGACAAGAACAGAGAACAAAGGCCCCGAGAGGCTGCTCTTACCTGAGGAGACGGTGACCAGGGTGCCAGGGCCCCAGATATCCAAAGCATAGTAATCACAGTAGTGCACGCTCCATCCACACCCCACAGAAACCCTGAGTGCCCAGCCAGCGTTGCGCTCATCACCCAGAGACTGACCTCCGTGGCCGCACCTGAGTCACTGTGTCAGGTCTGTGCCTCTATGTCAGGTCTCTGCCTCTGCTGGCCCCAGACATCCACATTTCAGCCCAGAGCTTCAGAAGCCAGGCTGCTGCTGGCCTGAGAAAGTGACCCTGAACTGACACTCCTTATTCTCTTAGGGACACACAAAGCCTTGATCACCTCCAAACTGACCAAGTCCAATTTCACTGCAGTCACACTATCCCAGATTTTGCTCCAAAGAGCAGGCAACCACCACCCTAGCCCACCAGCGGTAACTCCTGTCTAGGACCCCTGTGGCCGAGAGCCAAGGGGCTGCATTTTCAGCTCCCCAGATCCCTTTCCCTCCTTCTAAAATGCCGCTGTCACTCTGACACAGAGACTCTGACCCCTGAGACTCCCCTAGTGCGTTAGAGTGGAGACAGGGCAGGACTCACCTGAGGAGACGGTGACCGAGACCCCTCGGCCCCAGTTGTCAAACCAGTTGTCACCTTGTGACAACCATGACAGGATCCCAAACAAGAACTGGTGCCGGACTGAGGCCCCACATCCCTTAGAGGACCAGGCTCAGAGAGATCTGGCCACAAGGACCAGGATGGAGGGGATATCTGTGACCCCTCCCTAGCCTATCGAGCCATCCCCATACTTCTTGGCCTGAGACCTGAATACCATCATTTTGCCCCAAAATGCAGTAAAAACCCGAGTTAAGGAGAAAGAGGAGCTGTAAAGACTCACCTGAGGAGACGGTGACCAGTGTTCCAGCGCCCCATACATCAAAGTAATCACACTGTTATGGGCCTCTTTAGAGGGTATACAAAAACCTAATCCAACCCAGCCAAAGCTGTAAGGCCAGGTCCCAAGGACCTATGCCCAGAGCATGGTTCTGTCACCCTTTGTCCCCAGAGAAAAGTGTCTCTACCCTCACATAAAGGCCATCAGCAGGACACAGATCCTCAAATCCCCAGATGATCTTCATAGACCCTAGATGACCCAATGCAGACCAAAGAACCTCTGAAACCCTTCTCCTGGCTACAAGGAGGCAAAGAAATTCATCTCACCTGAGGAGATAGTGACCAGGATAGGAGGGCCCCAGTGGTTAAATTGGTTGTCACATTGTAACAACCCTGGCAAGACCCCAGGCAAAACCCCTGGCAAGACCCCAGGCAACTCCCCTCAAATTGAGCCCGGTGAAGGCTAAAATCAGCAGAGACAGCAAGACCCAGAGGCCAAGGGTGGCCAGAAGTCCCAGAGACCAAGACAGAGGGTTTCTGTGTGAACCATGACACCTAACACCCCTTCCTGGCCACCAAGGATGACCCTGTCTTTCTTTGCCTGAGACTCCAACTTGATCATTTTGCCCCCCAAAATGCAGCAAAACTCCTCAGAGTTGAGCAGGAAAAGAAGCTGTAAAGACTCACCTGAGGAGACGGTGACCAGGGTCCCCTGGCCCCAGTATTGAAAGTTGACACAATGCTGTAGGCTCCCTTATGGAGTATACAAAAACCTGACCCCACAGCCTGTGTGGACGGCCATGGCAGAAAGTCCAAGCCCCAAGGTCACAGTGTGTCCCCTGCCCATAGCAGGGTTCTGTCACTTTCACCCCAGGAACTAAGTGCCTTATCCCCATAGAAAGGCCATTGGCAGCACAGAGACCCCCATGGAGCCCCAGAAGTCCCACATAGACTAAGAACCTCAGGAAACCCCTCCTATCTCCAGAAGAGGCTGAGCCCAGGCCAAACAGACTAAAGAAATCATCTTACCTGACGTGACGGTGACTGAGGTGCCCTGGCCCCAGAAACCAAAGGCATTGCACTGAGACACTTGCTCTGCCATTGTCCACACAAAAACTCAAACCCACAGGAGGCAGCAGGGCCCAGGCACTTCAGCCTGGTGAGATCCCAGTGACGGCGGCATGGGCAGCCTCCCAAGCCATTCACAGCCCCACTGCAGATGTCCAACTTGTACACCCAGAGACCCATCCCTGTTTCAGCAGAGAAGACCAGAGTCTTGGGGGGACTCACCTGATGAGACACTGACCAGGATGCCAGAGCCCCAGAAGTCAAAGTACCAGTAACACAGCCTCTGCCCTTAGGCGGCACCTATACAAAAACTACCCTTGTAGGTGCAGCCCTCCAGACCTTGCTCCTTACTTGAGGAGACAGTTTCAGGGTGCTCTGGTCCCAGTTCTTGAAATAACCACAGGTACAATGATTTGGCTCAGTACCCACGGCCACAGACACCCCCAGCCTGGGATTCTGTAGCCCTACCTATCCAACTCCATGCAGGCACTGATTCTCATTAGTCCCTCCATGTCACAGTGTTTCTGCATGGAATCCCTGTGCTGGCCCACCCATGGCACTGCACTCTGCATCTAGTCATTGAGAAAGCTCCTGTGCTTTCCAAGATCACAAAACTCCTTCTCTTCCTGTTTCTTTAGCTCTCCCACCCCACAAGACATTGTAGGACTGTTGGCTGTGGGTTTTCTGCTGTTGCTGTGCGGTTTGGGTTTTTGTAGAACTGCCAGTCATTGTGGTCCCAGTTAGCACTGTGGTCCCAGGCTCAGCCAAAACCCCTAGGCAGGAGGAAGGGGTGGGGGAGGGGTGAAAGAGGATAGGAGGTGGAGGTGAGGGTAGAGGGTGTGGAGAGGGTGTAGAGAGTGGGGGTGAGGGTATAGATGGCTAGGCTAGGCTGGGAGCATATGAGGAGCACAGCTCAGGCCCTCACCAGAGTGGACTGGACCAAGGGTCCCATGCCTTCCCCTCACCATCAGCCTCCAAGTGCCCTGACCCTGAGTCAGGAGCTAATAATTCACCCCAGTAACAATCACTAGATGGGTGGCAGTAGAAAAAGCTTCTCTTCTTTAGAATCTGACAGATGCTTCTCTGTTGACCCTCATCTCCCTGCAGTTTGGGCATCTTATCAGCTGCGGGGAGAGGCCTGGGTAGCAGAGTTGGGGTCCCTTTACTTGGAGGCTGGACCCAGAGCATCTTTTCATGCACCGAGGCCATCAGCTGTCTGTGTCTCTGATTCCATCTGTGTGCGGCTACACAGGAGCTGGTCATCCCTTCTGCATGCTGCCTTCCCAGCTGCCCTGGGGGCAGAGTACTGGCAGTGGGTCACCACTAGTCATGTTCCTGCCTGTCCTGCATGGAGCTGTGGCCCTCAACAAGAAACCTTAGCTTTGCCTAAGACAGTAAGGGTAAGGTAGTCTAAGAGAGAAGACTCCCACCTCCAGACCTGCCAGGGTCCAGTGAAGACAGAAGCCATGCCAGTAAGGACCCGATGGACACTCAAGGAGAGTGTTCCATGTGAGGGCCACTATGGCTCTTGAAAGGCACAGAGCCCCTCGACTAGGAGGGCACCTGGGGCCCACAGAAGAGGGAGCAGGGGCAGTCTGGGAGAGTCCTGAGGGAGAGACAGGACTCAACTGTGGGACAGTGGGGTCTCAGACCTCTGCCTGATGACAGAGGCTGGATCTGGGCCATGACCTGGCTGAAAGGACAGGGACCTCAAAGCCAATTCCAGAGGGGCAGGGGTGAAGCTTGAGGAGAGGTTCATTCTACTAGGGTCCCTAGCTAGTGTAGAAAACATGGGGTGTCAGAGAGGGAAGCCAGAATGCAAAAGTAAAAGCAGGTGCACTGGGCTAGGTGTTGCAGTGAGGGGTTATGAGGGGAACAATTAGAATCAGAACACAAAATTTATAATATTATTATTTTATGATGGTTACCCAGAATAAAACACAAGAAAGTGCAGGAAATCTGTCCACAACACTAAAGACACAAAATATTCAGCCAACGGCCTGGATCCCACAGCTATGTCCTGCATGAGTCCAGATGAAAACCTAGAGCCCATGACAGTGCCTCCCACGAGTCCATCTGGAGGCCTAGAGCCCACGAGAAGGACTCATGCCAGTCTGTTTTGGGATCCATGCTGGGAAGGCCCAAAGGTCAGCGGTGGAAGCTAGAAAATCTATGCCAGTGGGGTAAAGGAGCTGTGCTGGTAGGTTGAGGATTCTATGCTGGCTGAGAAGTCATGCTCATAATAAAGATCCAGGCTGTCCTGAAAAGCACCACAGCCATCCTCAGCCATCCTCAGCCATCCTCAGTGACACAGAGGTCCTGAGCTCCTCTGACAATAAGAAAGAATGGTGGAGTACATACCCAAAAACCAGCATAATGAGTTTCTCCTGAATATTAAATGGTGCATGTCTTCCCCCTAAAGCCAGGAAGCGATGCTTGATGTAAGGATCAGAGCTCTCCTAGAGTGAACTACAGTCACTCTCACCAACAAGGTCCTTCGATGACAATAGTTGAACTCACATTGGGAAAGCTAGTCATGATGAGCTCCTCCAGGAGAACCAACAGTTCAAACAACAACACTTAAAGAAACCCACAATGCGTAGCTTCCCCTTCTCCACATATCTATTTATGCTGGCAACTTTCCTCAGGTGGGCTATCTATACTCAGCACAATGCTGATTTAATTCAGCTAGTGTTAAGTTGACCACCAGTTTTTAATCCAGAACAGATGGCTTTTATCAGATTGAATTAAAGAACTTCTTTTCCAATTTCTTTAGGGTTTTTGTCATGAATGAGTGTTGGACTTTAAAGTAAACTTTCTGCATCTATTGAGATGATTGTGTGATTTTTCTCTTTGGCTCTGTTAATATGATGTATTACATTTATTGATTTATATATGCAATCCTGAGATAGTGTATTATCTTCTTGATGATTTGCTGCATTCTGTTTGGCCAGTATCTTATCAAGGAATTTTGCATCTATGTGCATTAACGAGATTGGCCTTTAGTTCTCTTTTTTTGATTAGATCCTTCTCTGGTTTTGGTGTAAGGATAATGCATGCTTTAGGAATATTGCTTCCCTTTCAATTTTTTTAAGTGTTTGAGGAGTAGTGGTGTTAGATCTACTCTAAAGTTATAGAATTCATCAGTCCATCAGGAGCTGGACTTTTCTTTGTGGGTAGTTTTAAAAGTAATTCTACAATTTGATTGATTGATATTGACTTATTTAGAATTTTTATATCTTCTTGATTCTGCTTTGGTAATTCACATGTATCTAGAAATCTGTCTATTTCTTCTGAGTTTTTCCATCTAGTTAGAGTTGTAGATTCTTAAAGTAGGTATTATGTCCTTTAGATTTCTGCAGGATCCATTGTGATTTTGCCCTTTTTATTCCTATTTGAATTAAGTTGAATCTTTCCATTCCATTTTTAAAATCAATGTGACTAAAGTCTTGTTTATCTTATTTACTCCCCCAAAGAATTAAGTTTTCAATTGATTGATTCATGGTATTGTTTTCTTAGTAGCAAAACATTAATTTCTGTTCTGATTTTTATAGTTTCTTCTCTTGTACACACTTTAGGTTTGACATGTTATTGTTTTTCTAAAAGCTTTAGGTACAACACAAATTATTAATTTGAGCTCACACTGTTTTTCTGGAAATTCACCATTATAAATTTTTCTCATAGGACTGCTTTCATTATGTTCTATAAGTTCTGGAATGTCACATTGCCGTTACCATTTAATTATAGAAATGGTATAATTTATTCCTTAATTTCTTCTCTGACCAATTGGCTGATCAGCAGGGTGCTGTTTAATCTCTAAGTTTTATAGTTTTTATCAATTCTTTTGGGTTTGATTTTCCATTATATCACTGTCATGGTTTATGTCTCTGTCCCCCTCATGAGTTCGAATTGTGCATTTATTATTCATTCATTTGTATAGTGCTTGGATTTATGGTGTTAGTGCTAACTCACTTAGGGGTGGGGCCAGGATGCAATGTAATAGCAGGAAGAAGGTGTGTCTTTCTCTTTGCTGGTTGCTGTTTGTTGTTTGCAGCCGCCATGAACGGCAGCCCAGCCATGCCTGCCTGCCTTGGAGTCAACTGAGTGTGGACTGAAACCTCCAAAAACTGTAAGAAATAAACCTTTCCTTTCCCAACTTTGGGCTTCAGGTATTTTGTCTCAGCAATGAGTAAAAAAGACAATTACACTACTATCTGATAAAATACATGGGGTAATTTCAATTTCTTTGTATTTACTTAGGTATGTCCTGTGAGGTAGTATGTGGTCTATTTGGATAAAGTCCTATGTGCTGGGGGCTGGGGATTTAGCTCAGCGGCATAAGCACCTGCCTTGCAAGCAGGCAGTTGTGAGTTCGATCCCTGGTACTGATAAAAAAAGAAAAAGACAAAAAAAAAAGTCCTATGTGCTGCTGAAAAGATTATGTATTCTTTGTCCAATGGAAAACTCTAGATATCTACTGAGTACATTTGTTCAAAGTTTTGATTCAGCTTAGATATTTTCTTGATTTTGTCCACTTTATTGATTTATTTGTGACAGTGGGATATCGAGGTTCCCCCATTACAATTGTATTAGAGCTTATCTGGTTTTTCAAGACCATTTTCTTTTTAAAAAAATAATTAGTTTTATTCATATATTTTAGATAAAGAGAATAATCACATTCAGTGCAGGGAATTTGCACTTGTATGTACTCTGCTATTATCAATAAACTAGAAAACTCAGGGCACTGAGCAAGAAAGCAACCCTACCTGGTAAGTGTTGGACAAGCCAAGAAGAGAACTGATCAGCATGTCTCATCAGCCTACTGGGCCATGAGCTGAGAATCAAACGTTCCCTGTGCCTCCCCTCCTCAGTGAGCAATTGAGGGCCAGAGGTCTGAGCATTTCTTGGTAGGATGATTGTATGCAGTATAGGAAATATGGGGGATTTCCTTCTGTCTTCTCTTTAAAGGCCAACATTGTTTTCACTGTTTTGCTGTGTTCTGATTGTTTTGTGCTACTCGATATTCTGTTTTGATAGGATTTACAAAGTTCTGTTTTTGGTTATTGATTTTGCTATGCCTGATTGAATGGACAACTATTGTGAAGATAACGAGATATACTATAGTACCTACTATGTTATCCCGGTATTCTACTGTGAAGTTCTGTGCCAGTTTCACTGCCTTGCCTTGACTGGCTTTTTTCTGTCTTGTTCTGTTGTATTTCACTACCTTCAAAAGAAAAAAAAGAAACTAACCAATAGCAAATGCTGACTGGGGTGTGAGGAATAAGGAACCCTTCTCCACTGTTGAGGGGAATCTAGGCTGGTACAACCACTGTAAAACTCGGGGTGGAGATTCCTTAGAAAACTAAAACTAGAGGTTCCATTTAATCAAGGAACTGCATTCTCTTCTTAGTATTTTACCAAAAGAATTAAGAATATCATACCATATTGATATATGCACACAAACATGTTTATGGCAGCAACATTTATAATAGGTAAATCTTGGACAGAACTCAAAAGCCTATCAACTGAGGAATGAATACAAAGATTTTTTTATATAAAATGGAGTATTACTTTTCCAGAAGAACATGGCGGATAGATAACAGCAGCTATGGAGGCTCTCTGAGATACCCCGCTTAAAATCCAGGAGTGGTGTGGTACGAGGAGTCCTAAACAAGGGGAGATACACCCTGCTGACCCAGGGATGAACTAAGCTAAGAGAAAACAACTGGAAATCCAATCCTGGTGCTATAACAGGAACAGATAAAATCTCAGCTTGGAGGCTAGAACCCACGCAACTGGAAGCCACGACTTGAATTTCCTGATTCCGCTGCTGCGTCCAAATCTGCAAGGCAGGGAGAGAGATGCGTGAAAGCTCTGAGAGTGGGAATCTGCAAACGGAGTTGAGAGCGGGACTAGCAGGGAGCCCTACATCAACTTGCAGTGAGTGAGTGGAACAGGGACCCTTTCATAGAGTAGGAGGCTCCAGCAAAGGACATACTGGGACCTGGCAGACTTTCCAAAACAGGGCACTGCAGTGATTTCAGTCACATATTCCCCTCTCAAGCAGGATTGGTGGGGAGTGCCCGGTCTGCATGATGCCGCTGACAAAGACCCAGTAGGCTAGCCCAAACCAGGTCCCAGTGCCTGGAGGTGCACCCTAGTGGTGAAGCCTTTGGTAGGTTGACCTAGAGGGGCAGGCCCAGCAGAGGCTGCCCAGGTCTGTGTCTCTCTAGTACATTGCAGTGGATGGTAATATATAGCCAGCGCAATTCAAACAAACTGTAACTGAAAAAGAGAAAAAAATTGGGCCTCTTACATTAGCTTGTATGGAAGGAACAAAAAGTATGGGAAGAGGAAGCAACAAAAAAGGGTCCTCAGTCCCCAATCCTGAGAACACTGATCCAAGAAAGGGAAACACAAAGGAAGAAAGAAAACATGCAATATCAGACACAGCACCGATAGACATAAAGCAATATCTTCAGAGCCTCATAGACGAGTTTAAAAATGAAGTATTTAATGAAATAAAGCAAGATATAAGTAGAATAGTTAGAGAAATGCTAAGCACCGCCCAAGAAAAAACAGATGGTGGAATGGAAGAACAGAAAAAAAGGGGAGAATTGTTTGATGGAGAAAATAGAGAAAACATAGAATACATGAAGCAGGTTCAAAGAGATTACCAGGAAAGTAAAAACTCTATTGAAAGTTGGCATAACCGGTGAAAGAAACTAAGGATAGATTATCTGAATTGGAGGGCAGATTTGTAATATGGGAGCATGAAATGAAAAACTTCTTAAAAATAACAAGAAAACAAACAGCAATAATACAAAGGCTAGAAGATGATAAGAGGATCTATAACTTAAGAATTAAGAACATAGAAAAAGAAGTAGGGACACAAACAAATGGACTACAAAAGCTATTCACAGAAATAATCCAAGAGAATTTCCTTAATTTAGCGAAAGGTAAAAATACTCAGATGTATGAGGCGTACAGGACCCCAGCCACCTATAAGCCAAACAGACCTACACCCAGGCATGTAATAATCAAAATTCCAGAAATCCAATATAAGAACAGAATACTAAAAGCCATCAGAGACAAGAAACAGATTACTTACAAGGGAACACCCACCCGAATTACAGCAGACTTCTCGGCATAAACCATCAAATCACGAAGAGTGTGGGGGGAAATAATTCAAGTTTTGAAAGATAACAACCTCCAGCCAAGATTGATATATCCTGCACAACTGTCCCTAGAAATTGATGGAAAAACAAGGCTTTTCCAGGATAAAGAGGAACTAGGGGAATTTGCAACCACCAATTCAACTCTACAGAGAATACTGCAGGATATTCTAAAAAGGAAAATACCAAGACTTCAGAAACAGTGGCAGAGAGGCCAAAATGAATGGAACAGAAATCGAAATGAAGAAGACAAACTGACAACAAATGACAGAAAAAGAGCTCAACAGAAATGAGGCAGAGAAGATTGGATGGTAGGAACAGCTATTTTGGAGAAAACAAGACATCATAATAGCTAGTGCTGATTTAATATCATCTTGCTTTGAAGTCCCATCAAGCTTTTATTCTTCTGTCTCCATCGGTCTTAACAGGTTGTATCTTACTGGATTTTACTACATGTGATAATATAAGCAAAAACTTTTATAGACAAGGAGATTATACAGAAGCCATTGTTCATTTTCTGATAGTTGGTTCTAAATACCCTGTAATACTGTCATTCTCTTGAATGGTTTTACATTGTCTTGATATGTTTGGTGCTACAGTATATGAAGTTATACTCAAAGATTTCAAGGAAAGATACACTATGGTTACTACTTTTATGTCAGGATATCATGTGGTGAAACTCTATTTTGCTTAAATAGTTATGCTTTGACCTGTGCTGTTTTGTTATTATGCCCTCTTTTATCTGTCTCTTTTTTTAATTATTTACTTTTTATTTTTATCATTTTAATTAAGGGAAAAATAAAAAATAGCAGGATACATTATAGTAACCCACTTTGATTTCCTATTAACTTGATTTGAAACCCTGTATAGCCCTCACCATCTTGCTTTGACTGATTTTCCTCTATTCTGCTTTGCATGACAGTACCAAGTTTGAAAGTATAGGCAAAACTGTAAAGCCAATAAGATTCATTATGATGCCCATTCCGGTTGACTATTATCTTCTTTTAAAGTCCTGTAATGTCTCCAATGTTTTGGTTTTATTCTTTACTGTTTAGTTCAATTTTATTATAACTGATGATATAGGCAATTCTTTTTAATATAGCAAGAGGTAGTATGGTAACCATTGTTGATCACCTAGTGTTTTGTTTTTACATTATCTATTATGTCCATCCTTTTGATTTGACTGACTCTGTTCTGTTATGTCACATTTGGTTTTACTGTCTTCAAAAAAAAGTAATAAGAACTGTGGGAGTAATAAAATCCAAAATGTGTAATTGTCATTGTACAAAAGAAAAGAAAAGAAAAGAAAAGAAAAGAAAAGAAAAGAAAAGAAAGTACTCTAAAGAATATAACTGCATATATATTTAAGTGTGTAAGATAGATAACCATATTACTGAGTTTTGTTGGATAATTGAACAAAACTATTTCCAATCTCACTGTTTGAAAGTCCATTTTATGTGCTTTAATTTTGGAACTTGAATAACTATTTCTAAGATAACAATATGTAATCTATTAACTAGTGATTTCCTACTGTTTATGTTTTCTGAAATTCTGTATAACTTGTACCCTTTTTCTTTTTTTTTTTTTTTTCTTTTTCTCCTTAGATAAAAAAAATGGACTGTTAGCCAGGAATAAAGAAAGATAAACTTAAGACTTTTACAGGTAAATGGGTGCACCTTGAAACCATAATCTTAAATGAAATAAATCAGACAAACATATGTAACTGCTGCATTGTATTTCTGGTGTGAGAAAAAGAATATGTAAGGGATAATATATAACATATATTGCAAAATGGATATTGTACCATGGGTCATTGCTTTCAGGCTGAGAGGGATTTCTGGAAGTTGACTCCAGGCTCCTGCCTGCTTCTCCCTTCTTCACCTATGGATTGCCTGGGAAATAAATATTTGTATCTCACCTTGGGGCCCTGGCACCCTACTTGGCACTGCTG